GGGGGGTCTTCTGTCGGGTTCTCTCCTGTGTCGGTCTGTCATGTGTGGGTCGGTCAAATGTCGGTCGCTCAGATGTCGGTCGCTCAAATGTCGGGGCGCTCAAGTGTCGGCACTCAAATGTCGGGCGCTCAAACGTCGGTTAATCAAAAAATGTTATGCCCAAAAAGTACAAAATTCGTTTTTAAACCATTAAATTTTTGCTAATGACGATAATTATACTATAATAGTGATTAGACCTACTGATAATTATAAACAAACTAAAGTATATTTGTAACAGTCATACAGCGTCTCAATGTTCAAATTTCGATTTCGAGCTAATATGAAAGAAACTACTAAGCACGTCTTGTCTCTTTATCAATTGCCTTTATTTCTTTTTACTATTTTTAAGAATACTTTTCAGAAATTAAAGGTAAAAGTTCTTACATTTTTGCCTAATAGGTAAAAGCTGACAATATTTTAGTTATTAAACAAATGTGATTTCAGATAATTATGAAAATCTTTTATAAGACCATTTCTCTCATATATATTAATAGAAAAATAATTGTTTATAAGATTTTCACGATAAAAAAAGGCACAAAAAAGATATATACTCATCTAAATAAACGATTTCAGTCAGGAAAAGATAAATTACAAAAAACGATTGAAAAACTGGGTAGAAATTGCAACAACATAAAAATACGAATGTAATTAACAATTAATAAGCCAGAAATTAATAGTAAAAAGTCGCTTTTTAAAAAAACAATTAAAAATTCAGACAAAGTGCACACACACACACAGATAGTCATCCATCCCAACGAAAAAATATATAAATAGACAGATTTTAGTTAATTGTCATTGGAAGGGTGATGGAGTTTGTTCCTGTCGATCTGTTTGTACTTTATTTATTGATAAAAGTTTTGTTAGTTGTAGTTTTTTAAAATTTTCACATGGATCAATATCGTACATTTGTAGTTTATTTTGAACTGAAACAGGTGTACCATTTATTATAATCTCTTTTGTATCATCTAGTAAAAAAATTAAAAATGTTATGAATAAAAATTTTCAACAAAAGTCAGATTTAGGCTAATGCTATGAAATAAGAATTCGAAATTGTCGACACTTTGTTACTCATTTTATCCTCTCTCAATGCACTTACCAGTCGTTGACATCACATTTACATTTCCACCGTATGTTACCAGATAACCTATTTTAGAGAAGAAAAATAACAAGTATAATTAAATTCTCGATACCACAACAGTAAAACTCAACATCATAATACAATCACGCAAAAATATAAAACGCTTAAAGTGAAAACAGATAAGATTGTGCAGATAATATTTTTTTCTTTCTAAATATATCTGTATACTAAAAAATATTTCAAAAGAATGTCTATACTAAGATCAAAAAAAGAGAAATTAAATTTTTCTAATCCTGTATGATGTCAAAATTTTTTGCTAATTGGCTATTTGAATAATATACCGATGAAAAATTATCTCAAATTAAATTTTCACTTACATTTTTTTTTTTAGCATAGGTTTCTTTTCTTTGAACAAATGATTATCTTCAGTATAGAAGACATGATGAAAACTCTTAACAGATGAAAATAGCATAAAAATATTCGGTAATAGTAAGCACAAAGTATTCTATTACGTTTATACTAATATTTCAATAATAAAGTAGTAACTATAAAGTTTGTCTAGTAGAGAAGATTAAAATAGAAACTCTCTAATAATAGAATTTTTAATATATGTCTCTAACTTACTTATGAAGTAATTTCGTTGGTAAGTTTATACAAAGCTAGAAGAAGAAGTATATAAATAAAAAAATATGTGCATGAAAAAAACAAAGTATGAAAAAAAAAAAAGCAATATTTGAATATTTTTATCGAATGTAAAGAAATATAATAATTAAAAACAAGAACAAGATTATACAAAATAGTCGATTTAAAAAACAGAAAATTAAATATATGTGTATCATGCAACAAATGAGATTTATGTGCTTGTGTATATACGTGTGTGTGTAGAATATAACATACAACAAAAAGATATTTGTATGTGAATTATTGTCGTGCACTATTGCATGCATAAATATTGTAATTCATTGTTGTTTTATTAACCAAACAAACCTGTCCGTTGTCGCGGAATGGTACTTGCACTTTTTGTTCGAATATCTATTCCTGTTTTAGGTAATATAGTTGTCGTTGTTTGAGATAAAGTATTTGGAAGATAAAATCTATCGGGTCGTTCAGAACGTATCGCTAAATTATGAGCAGTATTTGCATTATTCAAATTATCGTCATTTTGTACTATGAGAGAATAGTTCGATGATGACATATTATGTCGATTAGATGCATTTCCACTACGTTGTTGATATCGACTATTACGAGATACATTATTCATTGTTGAATTCTAGAAAATAAGATAAAAATTATTAAAACAAAACTTGTTCACGTTTTCATAATCGCATTCTGTTAATATTTAATCCTACTTTTTCATCGAATATATGCATATTTTTTGTTCGCACTTCTAATTTTGGTTGTGTTTGATTTGTAAAATATTGTTGTAGTGCATTTGTTCCATTATAGCGATTAGGTGGTAATTTTGATGAACCAACAAATTGTAATAATGAAAGATTATGAGTTGCATCAGTCATATCAATTGGGGGCTAAAATAAATTATAAATTTAAGAAGATTCTTTTTAAAATGAATACAATAGTAATTTACCATATTATTATGATAATTGGGTGCTAATGGTAAATTGGCTATTGTACCTGGTGTTCCAAACAATAGTCTATGACACATGTCGATTATACCTAAAATATAAATTATTAAATTTTCAAGTAAAAATTTAAAATTAATATTATTTTCGTACCCATTCCTCGTATAAGTGTTTCACGTTGTTTTAAACTCATTACTCTTTCAAGTTCTTCACTTTCATCAATTTCAATAGTTTTCAGCGAATCACCATAAGACGTTACTGGACTCTTCACATTCTGATTCTAAAATGAAAATAACATTTTTCGATCATGTTTGCATTTTTCGATCATGTTTGCATTTTTCGATCATTAAAAATTAATAAGCATTTCAAAAGCATTTACGATAATACTGATCAATTATAAACAACGTATAAGCTTACTAACAGATGCGTATGTGTATGTATGTGAGTATCTGTTGTGTTTATCACTACACTCAAAGATAGATAGATTTGAGTGAGCAACATTCTCTTCAATGAAGAGTTTTAAAGCTGTAGTTTAAGGTCTATATATATATATATATATATACAATAGAAATATCTGTTTTAGTACGATTGCATAATGGTTACCGTATTGCTGTTACTGCCATGACTAAATGCCATTTTCTAAAGGATTATTTTACATTTTTTAAGGTACCACAAAAAATTTTCAGATTTTATATTAAATTTTTTACTATTCTTATAATCATAAAAAAAAATAACAACGACAACTTACCACTGTTAATCGTTTCAATGGTGTTCGATTAAATGATGAACCTCGTGATGATGATTTTACACTAGGTAATGGTCGCCTTGTTGGACTTTCTCCACATAATTCACGTGAATTAATTGTCTTTTTATTTTTAAACGCATTAAGTTTATCCTGTTTTCGTTGTAATTCATCAATTTGTGCTCTGAATGTAGAATATATAAATATGGTCTTTCTTTTAATATGTATGACTTCTAAATGTCATTGTTTTTTTTTATTACCGTGCTTGTTCTAATCTTGCTTTGGAGGCTGCTGTTTCTGAATAGAGTGTACCACTTTGTGTAAAAAATCTATCATAACGTTCGGTTGTTGGTCCAGGATAGATTCGCCGATAATTACCACAATGTGTATCTTCCCATTTTTCTATTTCTTTTTGCCATTGTTGAGCTAAGTCTTCTTGTTCTTCACGAAATCTATTTCAAAAAGATCCAAATTTTTTTTTCAATATAGATTTTATCAATAATAAAATGATAATAATTTTATTTACTTATTATCTTTTTTTCCAGCAGTTTTATGAAATAATCGTTCTTTTGCTTTACGTTTTTCTTCTTCAAGAAATTTTCGTTTATCAGCAGCAGGCATATTTAATAGTAATAATGTATCAAAAATTAATGCATCTTTAATTTCTCTATCTAGTTTTGCATCTGTCGTAAAACTAGGCGAATGATTGACCTGAATGATTAAAAAGATTATCGATATATTGAAGATGATTTAATAGTGTACCTCTAGAACGTATGGTTTTAATTTTCGATCTAATAATATATCAAAGCCAAGTATTTCAAAACATGCACTACCACGATAATGATTTGGAAAACACGCTCGATAATTATGTTTTAGTACAGAATGTGCTGATATTAAAACTTTAAGAATAACATCGTCAATATCTCCCCATAATTTATTGATATCAAAACCATGTTCTGCTAGCCATTTATTAATTGTTGTTATTCGTCTTTTTGTGCCTGTATCCTCATCTCGAATAAAATCATCACTACGTTTTTGAATAGCATAATTTGTCAAATGCATAAATATATCTTTACAATTTGATGTGCTTGGTTCTTCATAATGTTGAGTAGTAAATCGAGCTAAACCATCTTTATAAACAAAAACACGAAATGGATCACATGATGTTACAGCAACATAAACACGTAAATCAAATTTATAACCATCAACTAAAAATGGCTAAAATAAAAAATATTTATGTTTTTTATTTTATCATAATTAAGAGTATATAATGAACATACTCTAGAAATGTATAATTGTACTACAAAATTATCTTGTGGTTTAATATCTTTTTGTGGATTTCTTGTAATAAATATTCCACGTCCTTGACATCCAACATCCGGTTTACTAATGTAGGTTTTATATTTTTTTTCTTGACAATATTTAGAAAAATCACTATAATCAGCTGGAAGACACCAAGCTTTTGGATAAAAATTATATTCTTTTGGAAACATTTTCATCATTCGTGACATATTTCGTGTTAATGAATCTTTTCGACATATCTCACTCATGCCGGGAAAATGATTAATTTTTTGCCATTTTTTCATTTGTGCAACACGATCTATTCCTACGCTTGTATCTGTCCAATATACATTCCAATCATCATCGTCACCAACTTCACGGAAATTAAGACGTTTTGCAGCTCTTCTAACACACTCATATTTACACATTGATACACAAATATAGTATGTTCTTTTTCGTTTTTTTCGTTTCTTTCTTGGATCTGATTCATCATCAAATTGACCAGAAGCTGAGGATTGAGTAACTCTTGGCAGTTTTTGATCGTCATCTGATTCTCCACCTTCTTCATAATCATCTGGTAATGTTGGTTGATACGTAATAATATTTTCATCATCTTTTAATGTTAATTCGCCAACAGTTTTCGAAATAAGAGTCGATTCAATTTCTTCATCAGAACTACTTGTTTCGCTCGAATCACTTTCTATTGCTGGCATTTGAATTTAATATTGATGAAATTACAGTTATCAACTAGAAATTAATGAAAAATTTTTATTTATAAAAACCGGATACGCGTCTTTTCAACTACATACAATTGAATAAGTGGCAATATTTTGAAAATTCATTAACAGGAATATTTTTCATTCTTTTCTTTTTTACATTATGAGGATCAAATGAGACAAAGTTAGTTTGATGATAAAATCTAGAAAAAAACAATATCATTTAAAAAGAGGCTGACTTATTTTTTTCACAAACATATACCGTATTACCAAATATTTTGTTATTTAGGTTCGATTAAGTTATCTTAATTCATTGCTGTTTTTGAAACAACACCAAACATAATCGTTCTAGGATTTAATGAAACAATGATAATTTTTTCTATTTCCTACTCACTTCTTTCTGTTGAACAAAAGTAGAGATTATTGAACGAGACTTATAGATTCACCAAGCAGCCAAGTCTTTTTTCTTCTTCTACTCAGGTCTCATTAAAAGAAACAAGATCAATATGCATATATGAACTTTATCATATGTTCAAGGAGACAAAAAGTACGCTTTTGTCACTGTGATAAGTTATTCTTTCTTATTTCCTTCTAGACAAGATTGAACAAACATTATACTCCACTGTACAGTAAATAGAGTTGTTGAATGCTATTCTTTCATTCTTCTTACTATTTATCACGTGTAGGTAAAAAAATATTTTAAATTATACTTCTTGTTTTTTAAGAATTAAAAAAAATGAAGAAAATATACATTTAAAAACACTCAAATAAAAGTATCTGAAATCATATGTAAGATTTCCTTTTAATAACTCAAATAATAAAAAGACATTACATACTGGAACAACAGATGATTACAATTTTATTGACAGTAAAATTGAAAATGTTCAAAGAAATACTTTTTCCTGTTAACGACTGCGTGACATGTTTTTTTTAGTAGTTTACCTCTGAATTTCATGGTTAATAAAGTCTAGTCTAGCTAATACAGGATGAATTCATCTAGAGCATATCTTAATTTGAAATATTTTGCTTAACTCGACGAGTAAAATCGCATATTGAAAGGATTGTGCACTTTCCAAGATATTTACGTTGTATGTCTTTTGGCTTTACATGAAAAAGTACCCCAGACTCGAAGCACTGCCTTTTTGAAAAAACAAGATGAAATGAATATGCATAAAATACTTGTATTATATTGATATGTAAAAGATTTTTAGAACCTCACAAATGCCGATAGGGTTTCAGAACTATCTTAGTGAATGTACTTGCGAGCGGGTACTTGGTCACTTACAAATTTCTGTGGATACTTGACAAGTACTTGATAGGTATTATAGGAACCTTGCAAGTATTTTCCAAAAATATTACTTAATAAGTGCTTGAGCAAGTACTTGCGGAAATAAACACTAAGTAAACAAACACTTGAAGTGTTTCCTGTACTTGGACACGTAGTTGGTTTTTTTAGAACAATATCGAGTACTTGCAAATATAATGGTGTATGCCCGACACGAGATGGGCGATTAATATCCATAGTTCAGGGTTTGCACTCTCTAAAAAAAAGATCACTACCAAACCTTTGGTTTTTCGTATTTTTGCAATAAACCTTTTATGGAATACGATTTCTTAGGCTGTTGATGAAATAGAGGTAGCGTACGAAACTCGAAGACTAACTTCTTCCCGAAAAGATTCCGGGTTGCTTTTACTAAAACATCAAAAAGGTTTAGCAGAAAAGATTTTTTTATAACAATTTTTTATTTTTTTCAAAGTGACCGTACAAAACCATTTATCTTTTAAAACACTTAGTAACTCCTGTAGTCCAATGGTGAATTCCAGATATCATACGAAACTTAAATACTGTAGAAATGTTGGAATTCTCTATACTCTTTTAGGTTTTATAGTAAACTGTTTTTTTAGAGAGTACTGGTCAGATTTGGTTAAGTTCATCTGATAATAACACGAATGACCACACTCCTTACACAGCCACGATTCTATGATTAAAGTTCTATAAGGACATTCATCAGAATTGTTTCTTACGCATTCGCTATGTTAAAATAAAAATAACACAACAGAATAAACATTATTCTACCAACACACACATATTATTTGCTATGTACTTCCAAAGTACATAACAAATAATAGTACAATTTATTCAAGAGTAGCGCTTGCCAAGTACATTATTTACTTGTCAACCTTACCTCAGGTACCTGTCGGTTACTTGGGCAAGTACTTAACCAAATGCTTGACAAGCAGAGTAACTAGTTCAAGTACTTGATTTATTTGCGAAAAAAGCCAGGAACGTTGGACAAAACTTGAGAGGATACTTGGGCAAATTTTAGTTTAATCTATATTTTATTAGTCAGCTGAAATAAGCATCACAGATAGTCAGGAATCACAAAGCATTGTACCCGGCTATCTGACGAAACGCAACATAAACAAATGAAATAGATGAGTAAAGTCATTTATCGTTTCTATCATGAAAAAAATGTCTAAAACTACATATTTAACGCTATTTTTATTGAAATCTGCTAGTTCAATCCAGAGAAAAGAGTTAAAAGTCCTTGTTTTCGTAGTCGGGTATCTACAACGTTTCACCGAAGCGGAAAATTTCACAATCTTGTTCGGTCAAATCGATTACAAATTCGTCTTCTCCATAGTCGATTATCTGATACGTGATAACTTTTGGTTACTTTATGAGACTGAAGGCAAGACGATATAAAAAAATGTGTCTGAAGTACCGATCTACAAGTTGTCACCTCCCAAATAATCGATTATTGAGAAGGCGAATTTGCAATCAGTTTTGACTGAACAAGCTTTTAAAAATTTTCGATTCGGTGATATGAATTCTTTCATCAGTCAAATTTGAATTTATCAACGAAAGATTGTGATAGCCTTCCATCCTGTGAAGGATATGTCACACAAAGTTTATACCAGACTGAGTTTCGGTTTCCTTATCGAATACATTTTTACTGTTTCTCCGCAAAGAATTTAATTGACTTCTCCGAAAAATAAGTAATTTAAACATTTACTGAAAACATACTGGAAATCAAGCACATGAACATATTTTACATATTAAATCGAGTAAATAGCATTAGTAAATGAAAAATATGAACAATCAGACAAGTGAATAGAATTGTGGTTTCATTTCCCTCAGCGCATCGTATGACAAATAATACTAAAACATAAGACTATCGATTAGCAACGAAAGGTATTAACTGCTTACCGAAATTTCCTCAGAAGCTGTAAAGTATGATCTCTCCATCAGTTTTAAGCTTAGGGATCCCTACCCTGTTTTGTCCTCCGGAAGCAGTATCAAAACACATCAAAATTGTATGGAATTGAGTTGATAGATCTTTCTTATTTTTATTGTCTAAAGCATTTTCAACAACTAGTTTGCAGAATTTCAAAACATGCACAGTATCTTGCACAAAAAAAACAATGTTCAAATATCCGTTTCTCTCTCTCGCTCTACTTTCGAACCATTTTTAGTCAGCAATTATTCATCGACTAGCAACCGATCTCAAATGTCGACAAATAAGAATATCCGCAAAGTGCATAGAAATGTTAAAAATACAAATTCAAGGGTTAACAACTTTATACTTTTGATTTTCATATAGTAAATAAAACGTGAGTCTTGCACGTAACTTTATACTCTATCGACATTAAAGTAAATTTTAGTGTTAAGCTCTAGCGCTGAAATACCTGCTGAACGTCCACAATTTATCTACATAATATAAAACAAAACGATCGAACTCAAACAGCAGGTAGTGCTGTTAACTGTTTGACTGTCGCCAATGTTAATAGTTTGGCTGTCGCCAATCAGTTATTTTAAAATTGAAAATTATTCGCCGCGTAAAACGGAAATTTCTATAGGCTTTGTCGCTACCAATTCAAAGTATATTAAGTAGAAATATTATACGACAACGTCGAACTAGGAGGCTGTCTATCTTCTTTGACAGCAAGCAAATCGAATGATTGATTAATTGATCTATGGATATGATGTTTTTATCTTATCTTTCTTTGTTCATTGTTTACTTGTGTTAAAGTTAACGTTCTTTTGGAATATGCTGTTCTGAGTAATTGAATGATGACACAGCGGGAACAGAAGTCAGGACGTATAACCGAAACATACAGTTTTGTAGACATTTGTAGAGACAGTCTATCAAACTTACATAATCGATGTATGATCCACAGAGGATAAATGACTATAGTATGGAATAAACAATGGTTTTTTAATGTTTTAAGAAAAAATATTGTATACAATTTATGATGAGATTTTGCAGTAGCATGTGCGCATCTTCTGGAGTGAGCACGGATGCATATAAACTCTTTTTCTTACATAGTGTACAAATTCTTCAAAAAGAATATATGTCAGTGAAGTATGAGAAATAAATAAGCATTGTTACGTCCATGTATTCTCTAAAAGTAGGCACAGACAACGACGTCAGAGCAACAATGCCAAAAATGCCATGTAAATTCCAGAACTACTACTTACTTGTTATCTAAAATACAAGAATGACTCATATATAATATTGGTAGTTTAAGATTGGTTTTTATTCAGATCCATTAGAATTTGTTAAAAATACAGAGTAAATTTAAACTTCACACTCTACTTGCTTTCTGTTGCAAGGTGTAAGTCTTGATTCTTTTAGAAGTTCGGTATACTTCATCGCTAGGAACACTGATCGCGCAATCTTGAGACGTCCCGTTGCTTAGTGTATAGTTGTAACACTAAATTTCGTTAATGCATGTAAGTAATAAGGCTGTGATTTGTGTTATTTATTCAAAATTATTTTAACTAATTTTTGCTATATTTTGTCTATTCTTTTAGATCTAAACAAAGATGTCAGTACGTAAAAATAGTAATTCTTGTCGTCCTGCAAATCGCCCCTTATCTACCGCATCATCGAACAAAAATGTAACGGCTCCATTACCACTAATGAATATCGATTTAGGTAGATCATCATCATCATTTATTCCATCATTGCTTGAAATTAATCCAGTTTTTGATTCCAATACTAAGTTTGATGCTAGAAGAGGCAGATCGGAATCACCATCTCGAGGTGCAAACGCCGTCTTGCACGAATTGTTAAATGAAGAACAGTCTGAAATTGTTCAAACATTTATACAAGAGATGTTAGAAAATAAAAATGAACGTATCGAAATAGAACGAAAACTATACGACACTGAAATAAAATTAATTCGACTACAAAATGATTATACCGTTTTATCAAATAAGTTTGAAATAGCCAAAGTCGATCATGATGAATGTAAAAGAGAGTTAAAAGATGTTTTGTCAGAAAATGTTGAATTGAAAAATGATATGCGCATTTTACAAAACAGAATAACCGAACTAATTAACGAAAATCAACGTTCAAATGGTTCGACTAACAATTATAGACCACAACAAACTTTTAACGCGGATAGAGGACAACGAAATCAACCAACATTCGATTTGTATGAATATGAGAATGATAATAGTGAGTGGAAGTATAATCAACCGCATAAAAATCCATCAGCAACAACAAAAAGACGTAGATACTAGTCAGAAATATCGATGCGTTTTGTTTGTTTTTATAATAATCATGTAGTGTATTCACTGTTCTCTTAAACATGCTCAAACTGTATTATTTGCTCAATTTTTTCTGTGTGTTTTTCTTCTTGTTTCAAGCTTTCGGTATTTTTTCTATTGCATGTTATCCTACAACTTAAAAATGTACTATTTACCTCAAATTCTAGTCAGTCAGACTTTTTCCGAAGTGTTATCATGTTCGATAGAAACACAAGAAGCTGGTTTCTTCTATATTTTTATGTAATTACTCGCTGCGTCAGAATATTTTAGAGAATGAAAAAAATTTTCCTTGTTAAAAACTTTATTGATGGAGACAGGCTTGAAACGAGTGAAAAAAGTTGTTCTTGATTTTTGTTATCCTTTTGTTGCTGTTTCACGTTAGGAAATGATATTTCATGTGTAAACTGTGTATGTAGACTGCATAAAAAATAGTATTTTCAATGATTTTGTTTAAAAAAAGTTACTGTGATTAAATGTGAAAAACTCGGATACTTTTGCTTTTTTTCTATAGATATTAATAAACAAAGTTATGCATGATTTATAAAAGTTAGACAAACACGCTCTTACTAGCAGAGATCGTTCTTCATGTGTTGTGAATTGATACATAGTAGATGACAAAGCGTCATAATTATGATGATCAAGTTGTACATGGACCATGAAGTCTGTGCAAATGACTTATCTTCGGAAAAAAACATTAAGACACTTACAGATAGCACACAGACATCCACAGACGGCTGCATAGACAACACATATACAACTACAGACAGCCACAGACATCTATACACGGACACCCATGGATGTCTGTGTAGCTGTCTGTGGTTGTATGTGTGCTGTCTGTGGGTGTCTTCATGTTTTACTATTACCCCGAATTTTATACTGAAAAGACTTTTCTTTCCCTTTTTCTTTAATATAATATCCTGCACAATTTTTATTAGTAGAATTTGCCAAATTAGTCATCTAGGTTCATCTAATAAATCGACAAATCATTCTTTTGGAAGAAATCGAACGTTAAGATAAATTCATTCAGTCGCAGCTTCATACTCAAATCGAGATTAACCCTTTACTCTCGGATGTCCAAGGCGTGGACATTGAAAAAATCCTGTTGCTTTGAAGCACCGTGTCCACACTGTAAAAAATAAAATACTACAAAAAGTGTTTTTATGAAAACTGTCTTGCTATAAAGCGCATGGCTAAACATAGCCCTTTCAGGTATAGAGAAAATAAATTTTTGATCTGCAGTAAACTGGAGCACTTTGTGAAAAAACGCGCTTTCCAAGTGATTGCAAAGAGAACATCTTTAAAAATATATAGTAGAAAGATGCTTTCGAAGTGACCCAAGAGAAAATACTGTAACAAACAGTGTGGCATGAAGCATTTTTTTTGAAAAGACACTTTTTAAAGTCATGTTGATAAGTGATTCACCTCTTTTATTTTGTTATTACTACTAGTAATGTAACGAAGAGATATAGTATATATGTAACGAAGATATGTATGCGAATTTATGCTGTAGCGAAAAGAACTGTACGCCCTCACTAAATTTAGAAACATTTTCAGATCAAACCTTAAAGATGAAGCCATATCCTATTTTGCCACGTGATTTTTTCTGCAAACATAGAGAGGTATTGCGAAAGAAAGCTTCTGAAGTTCCGAAGAAGTAGAACTTGTTTCTCTAGAGAACTAAACTTTTGACATGTTCGTGGATATTACCAGACCAAATCGCATTGTTAGCTTTCAGGCCAAAGTGGAAACGATCGTTGTTAGTAGCTTGGAATAATCTTGTGAAGCACACCCGCACCCACACACCCTCACCCTCACCCTCTGTCTGGGGAAGAAAGATGAATTAGGCAGCTGAGTAATCCTACACGCTGGCAAATTCTATTCTGCTCTGTTTTCACGACTCATACGCTCTGTTTCAAGGGAAATATCGGTTATTTCCAACATACGAATCATTCTTTTACCAATTCTGTTGACATGCACAACATGTGTGGGAAAAATCACACCGTAGACAAACATATATCACCTGAAACGAAGAGGGAGTACGTTGATCTGTATATATAAAGGAGGTTCGAGAAGAGTTGAAAAGCCTCTCAACACATATCACACATTCAACAACGAAAACTTGAACTTTTTTGATTAGATAAAAATGAGCAGCAAAACTCAACCAATGGATTGCAATACCACGACGACGAAGAGCGGACCAAGCGCATCTATCAACTACAAGACAGGTGACGTTAAAGCAACGACCGGTTCGACAACGACGACTAAGACAGACTGCGGCAGCAAGGACTGCAAGACTTCGGGCAGCTATCAGCCGCCGAACGATAACAACAGAGGCAAGGATACTAAGCCTGGTAGTTGTAAGTCCGAGATCTAATCGACGCCGGCAGCTAAGCATCAACTTAACTTATTCTGCCCAAGAGTGTTTTTACTTTAAACGCGTATAACTCGTTATTTCGAAACCCTACTTTTTTTCCTCCTCGTACATCGTATAAATGCCCGCTTTGTTTTTCACAATTCGTAATAAATGAACTTTCTTCTCGCAAGCCATTATTCGACTCGAACGAACGAAGGAATTGGAACGAGCTCTTCAGTATCATCGCATAACATGACATGCGAATTATTGATCAGCCATCAGAATGGCCTACTTCCAGGTCGCTCGTATGTAAAACTTATTCAAGGAGAGAAGCTCACTTACCATTAAACTTGAATGGTGATATTCAATATAGTTATCAAACGTATTCAGAATACGTTTTAGAGAACATGGATCAACAGTAAGTTTGGTTATTTTATTACTGATTCGAGGTAAAATTTTTGAACAAATTTTATCGACAATATACTTATATACAGAAATATTACTAATATAGTTTTGGTCGAAAACACAATGGAGATTATTAATATAGAGAAAATCGAGTACTAATCGATTAAATCGTTGATTTACACCGATCAATGAATAAAACACGTCGATTATATTTAGTCTATTGAAAATAGAAAGTAACATTTCATCTGCTAGATCAACTAGTACTAAGAATAGTTCCATGGTTCAAAGGAACCAAAAATTAACAAAATTAGAAAATCATATTTATAAGTTCAAAATCAAATATAATGAAATTCGACAAATGTCGTGCGAAAAAGTGGCTTAGAGAAGAGCACTTTCAAAAGCGATCTCTTGTGACGTTGATCCTATCTATAGCGGTCTTTATTTGGTTTATTTTTCAAGTGACCACTGGGGAGCACTTTGCAAGTAGTTTTCTTTAAAGCACTTTTCAAAGTGTTCTTCAATCAAACACTTCAAAAGCACGGCAAAACAAGACCGCTACAAATAGGATCAGCACCACCAGAGAGCGCTTTCTTTTTTACAGTGCAGTAATGATATGTCCACACCTGTGGGCTTTATGGGTGAGTGACATAGAAATTACTCATTTTTAAATATATACACATTGTTTCATTCGTTTCTTTTCTTGTAAGGTACAGAATTTTATTTTTCGTTTTTTTGCCATGGTTATATAATGCAACTCGTGTTGCATAGAAAAAAACTTAATTGCACAATTCTGAAACACTTTTTTCAGTTATTTTAAATATCGATTTTTCAAAAATTGGTAAAATAGGCAAAATTTTGAATAAAATTCAAATTCAACTATTCATTCTATTTTTAAAATTCGAAAACAATTTTTTGCTTACTCTCCATCAAAAACTGGGTCTAGAAAACAGATTTTGGAAAATTTAAAATTCAAATTGACTTCGAGAACCGTTGAAGACGAGCAGAATGGTAAAAGGCCCGCTAGCCAACCTTGCAAACCTATCTAGTCCTAGGATTTGGAAGATAAAACTTTCTTTCATACTTCATTCTAACTGATATGCTGGACAAATAAGTATCGATAATGAAAAATTTTACTTTGTTGTCGAAAAAATTCAATTTTTATGAATTCAATGAAAAACTCTTTGAATTTGTTCCTGTACTATGCCTTTTTCTCTATCAAAATTCAACATTTTGACAAAAACCATGTCATATTTGGAATCAGGATTTTGATGAGATATTCTCTCGTGATTCAACCGACAGAATTCGACAGGATTGATTCTTGGGAATGAAAGAAAAAAAATTATGAACAAAATACTGAGCGTGTTATTTAGTCTGAACCACTGGCTACAGTGTGATCTAAACAAAATGTTATTCTAGCACAAAAATATTTGATCGATCAAAGCTCGTAATATCTATGGATAGAGGGCTGTATGACTTATAAACAGGCAAAAAGTCCAACACTGTAAAGCCTTTTATTTTATTAAAATAAAATCAATCCAAGAACTTAGAGCGTTCAAAACGTTCTCGGACTGATACGTATATATACAATATATATGAAAATAATATCTGTCTTGAGCATGTTTTATTTATTCTGACTGAGAAAGACGTGAAATTTTAGTTTTTTGATGAAAAACAAGATAAAAAGTGCAGATGTTTCAAAAGTTTCAACCGATGAAATACCGGTCCGGTCCGGTACCGGTTTCAGCTCTGGCCTCATATTCTCTTGTTTATGTCACAATTCAAATTGTTCACGATTTGTATAAGATTCATTTGATTATCATCATTATCTCCATCTGTGTTTTCTTTAACTCCTTTAAACGGTATGAGTCAGAAACCTATACAGGGCCGCAAATAACGGGGAGGATGTATGTAGGAGAGTGCACACTCCGAATAATTGGAAAACCTGTTGTTATTTTATCAATTATTCCTCGTACAAAATTTTTTTTATCAATTTTATACTTCCTCAGAAAGAAAATTTATTTTACACTTCCCTAATGTTTGGCTGCTATTTGCGACCCTGAACGTATGCAAATTTTTTCACGCGAGAGACGAGCTCAGTGCAACAAAAAAGTTTGTCATTTATAACTTTACTTTCGCTTAATAATTAATACATTCATCATAGATCACTTGCACACACGAAAGAATAAATCCTTTTATTTGATCATAATAAGCTCAC